TATATTATACTTACAAATATTGGATAATATATAAAATATAATTGATTCATATATATATAATATTATACAATATCTATTATATAATATATAATATACTTATAGATAATATGTAAAATATAATATATACTTATACATAGCAATAAAAAAAAAAATACACATGTATACAAAATAAACTAAAAAAATTAACTGAAACACATTATTTAAAAAATATAATAAATAAATAAAATAATATATATATATTAAAAAAATTAATTGTTGTTTTTCTTCTCTTCTTATTCAAAAAATTAATAATATACATATTAAATATTTACTAATGTTGAAAATTGTGCTATATTAATATTTTGTTTAACTTCTATAACTTGCGCTTCGCTTTGGTGAAGCGCGCGCCTCGCCTTGCACCTCGATGCTTAGGCTCCAGGTAACCTTGGCGTCTCGATGCGCCTAGAACTTTTTAAAACACTACTTACAATAATGGCATCCAATGCATGTCTATCCATCAAGGTGAATGAATCTTCTAGTGAAGCTTTGCTTCTTGGCACATGGCGATGAGTAAGTTTTGAATTTTTAAGAGAAGAAGAAACACCACCTTTTTTCTTGACGTTTTCAACCTTTTTATGTATCCTTTCCAATTATGTGCGGTTTTTCAACAAAGTAGGGCACCTTTTACTTCAGCTTTTTTTCTAGTAGAAGCACCAAAAACGTTTGTATGAATACGGGTATACGTACTCACAAAACTAGCATTACAATCAGTGGCGGAGAGAGTAAGGAACCAGGGGGGTCACGTGCTTCCCTGATTTTGGGATTTTTTTTTTTTTTTACAAATATAAAGAAGATATTTTAAATAAAAAAATTATAAAAACATTATTAGAGTGAAATGTCAATGATATTTTAAAATTATGAGAACAATAATGATTTTTTGAGTAAAAATGAAGAGACTACTATAAATCATATTATCTATGAAAATTTTATGAAAAATTTGGAATGTAACGGTGATGTCATTATTATTGATATGTAAGTATAAGTAATCTCACTATAAATATATGAAATTTATTAAATTGTTAGTTACATTTGACATGTGAGATTTACTCTCTATATGTTTATTTACTATTAATTGGTAATATCACATACTAGTGATGACGTGATATTACCATTATATTGAATTTTTAATCAAATTTTGTATAAAAAATAATTTATCGCTATATAATTTATTTTAAAACTTATATGCATATTTTTTTATATTGCCCGTGATACACTAGTTATAAATAACATTATTTTTCTGATGTTTCTCGAAATCAATTGTAAAAATTTACGTGAAATATTTTTGTAAAATTTTTTAATATTGTAATTAATAAGCACTCCCTCTAATTTAATTTTCTAGTTCCGCCACTGATTACAATACTTACACTCCCAATGTTTGGCACCCCTGGGATTTTTTTCGCTTGCAACACCTTTCATAATAACTTCATCCAACAAAGGATTAGACTTCATATCAACCTGATTCTCTCTTGACTCTGTGAAATTTCTTGCTTGAGCACCAATATTACCACCATCTTTGTCATCCTGAATTACATCAATTTCTTCAACATTCTCATCATCACTGGTTGGAATATCTTCATACATCATTATGTCCTCCTCGTCTTCTAAATTTTTAGGAGCATCATCCACATGCTTTTTTTCCCAAAAACAATGGTTCTATGAAGCACGGATACAGACATGGACACGGGACACGGTAATTTTCAAAAAATGGAGACACGGACACGGCAGGAGACACGGTGAATTTTTTTATTTTTTTTATAAATATTTTTATGTGTTATGTAGATTCATATTATGTTCATTCTAAATTAAAATTAACAAATGCTAACATAGTAACATTAATTCAATAAATATAAGAGAGACAAATTTTGAACTAGAAATTTTTCTAATCTAGTCACATATTTCCACAGTGGCTTCTCATCTTCACCATCAAAGGCAGATTGGGTGTTATTGGCAGAATTTGAACTAGACATGTTTCTTATAAATTATAACCATTATAAATTAACATTAACATTAGAATGATTTTAAAAAAAATGAGAACCATTATAAATTAATATCAACATTAACATTATATATAAATTATAACCATTATATATATAAACTCATAACCATTATATATATAAACTTATAATTTTTTTTTTATAAAAAAAATACAGTTTTAGATATATATACATGTATATTAACATATAATTAAAAAAAAAAAGTCTTACATATATATATATAAACGTATAAAAAAAACAAAAACAAATATCAACTCAGTTGAGCAAAGAGCAAAGGGAGAGAGAGAGAAAGAGAGAGAGAGAGAGAGAGGGGCTTACCTTCGAAGTCGACTGGATCGGAGGTCTGAGACAGAGACTAAGACGAGTGGTCTGAGACAGAGATTGAGGCAGAGACTGAGACAAGTGGATCGGAGGGCTTCGATCGACTTTGACTGAGAGAGAGTGTCTTCGATTGAGATGGGTCTTCGCAGGTTTGACTTCCTTCCCTCTTTCTTTGTTCAATTAGAGAGAGAGAGAGAGAGAGAGAGAGAAGGGCTTACATTCGAAGTCGATTGGATCGGAGGTCTGAGACAGAGACTGAGACGAGTGGTCTGAGACAGAGATTGAGGCAGAGACTGAGACAAGTGGATCGGAGGGCTTCGATCGACTTCGACTGAGAGAGAGAGAGTGTCTTCGATTGAGATAGGTCTTCGCAGGCCTGACTTCCTTCACTCTTTCTTTGTTCGATTTAGGGCTACAAGTGTTGTTGTTATTGTTTTTTTTTTTTTTTTGCTTTTAATTTTTAAATATTACACTTTGCCCCAAACAAAATATAACAAATTTAAAACTGAGTCTCGCCGTGTCCCATGGCGTGTCCCTATGTGTCCCCGCCGTGTCCCCTTCCAAAAAAATCATTAAATTAATCGGACACGCCAGATGCCATGTTCCGTATGTGTCCCCGGTGTGTCCCCATGTCCTTGGCGTGTTTGCATGTCGGATACTGCCACGGCACCAATTTTGAAGTGTCCATGCTTCATAGTCATGGCTCCCAAATTTTTTTTTTGTTTTTTGTTTTTTTTCTTCTTGATGGGAATCAGCCTTTTTTTCTTATGAAAACAGCTAGGAACCAATCTAATTTAAAGACAATTATGTTGCGTGAAAATATTTATTTTCTATTTTTGTGTTATTTCGTTTCTATTTTGAGAGAGAACAAACATTTAAAATTCTGTACTTTCAAAAAATTGTTATTCATATTTGTCTTTCCTATTTTTTTGGGCTATTGTATTTATCTTTTCTATTATTATGTATAATAGAATATATAATTGTTTAGGAAACCGTATAATATAATTTTAAAATTGTGTATTTTTAAAAAATTGTTATATTCATATTTATGTTTCTTATTTTTTTGGCCATTGTATTTATCTTTTCTATTATTATGTACAATAGAATATATAATTGTTTAGGAAACCGTATGATATAATTTTAAAATTGTGTATTTTTAAAAAATTGTTATTCATATTTATCTTTCTTTTCTAATTTTTGTTGGCCATTGTATTTATCATCCATATTAGTATGCATAATTGAATATATAATTATTTAGGAAACCGTATAATATAATTTTATATCTAGTATATATTATAATTGTTTTGGAATAATAAAATATTTTACCCAATTATTTAGGAAACTTTACATTTAATTGGTTCGGAATCTTAAAATATAATTTTATATACAAGATATTTAAGGTAATTGTAAAGAAGACCAAGGGACCTTTTGAATTAACACCTCTCAATTTCTAAAACAGACGTGTGTGACGGACCATGGTTGTAATAGGGCAAATTACATATACACCCCTCGAGGTTTGGTTAAATTACAGATACCCCTGAGGTTTTGGAAATTACATCTCGCCCCCTGAGGTTTGTATTTTCATAACAATTTACCCCCTGAGGTTTATATTTCATAACAAATTACCCCCTAATTTCTTATGCAAATATAACATTCAGGGGGGAATTCGTAATTTCTCAAACCTCAGGGGGGTGTCTGTAATTTAGCCAAACCTCGAGGGGTGTATATGTAATTTGCCCGTTGTAATAAATTATAACAACTTCCCAAATACGTGCCTATGTATACAATCACTCCTCCTTTAGTCGAACTCTACGACTTCTCATGTACGTTTCCAATTATTTGACTGTAGAATTGGAAGAGGGCAGACCACAAATCTTTCGGGTATGTTTGATTTAGTGGATTAGAGTATGAGATTGAGATTATTAATTTGTGAGTTTAATTATTTTATGTTTGTTTTAATATTTTAGTTTATAATCTGTAATTTAGCCAAACCTCGAGGGGTGTATATGTAATTTGCCCGTTGTAATAAATTATAACAACTTCCCAAATACGTGCCTATGTATACAATCACTCCTCCTTTAGTCGAACTCTACGACTTCTCATGTACGTTTCCAATTATTTGACTGTAGAATTGGAAGAGGGCAGACCACAAATCTTTCGGGTATGTTTGATTTAGTGGATTAGAGTATGAGATTGAGATTATTAATCTGTGAGTCTAATTATTTTATGTTTGTTTTAATATTTTAGTTTATAATTATTAATCCAATGGATAATTAATCCAACAAATTTATAAAATTATTAATAATGGGGTAGGGGTGAGATTATTAATCTAATGGATATTAATCCAATTGGATAGTGAATACCACACTAATTTAATAGAATTATTAATATTTCACTATTAATCTTGTGAATCAAACATGATCTCAGTGTGTCATGGGCATTAATTAATATATATATTGATATATGTTATGTTATTAATATTAATTTTATTTATTATACAAATTATAAATATTTAAAATTTTTAAAATTATAACACATAATCCGTTAATATATTAATTAATAAATTAATCAGTACATATAGCATTATTCAAAATATTTTTCAAAATAAAAGCTATTCCCAAATTTGCTTCTTTATATTTTACATATTTTTTTCTCAATCGTTCAATCATCTCTTGTAAGGGGCTGTTCTAGTTGAAAAATGTCGAACCCTTCATCTTTGACAATCGCAACCTCTAGGGTTTCCATTGGAGACGAAGAAGCACCAACTTGTTTCGAAGCTCTGGTGGTTGACGATGATGCGAAAAAGACAAATGATGACAGCGACGCATAGGGAAAGCACTATAAGTTTCTATTTCTTTCTTGTGCTCTGCGTTGATTTTTCATTGGAACGCTCAAATCTGTGATCCAGTTCGCAAACAACCTGCGATTGGGATCGTACGATCCAGATCGCAAATCGCCACCTCCTTAGCGATTTCTGGTAACTTAGGTCTGGTGAGTCTTCTCTTTGCTTCTTTAATGCAATTTAATGGAAGTATCTTTAACTTAAATTCTGTAATTTCTTTGCCCTAATTGATTTTTGGTTTCATAATTTCTACAATTAAAAACTATCAAAAGACAACTTCTTCATCTCATCATAAAAGAAGTACAGGATTAGGGAAATACAAAAGAAAACATTTCTGACTTCTGTGTTATGGTAGTAGTTCCATTCGGTAGGTTCTTTTTTGTTTTTAGGTTAATGGATGTAATTTGGGAAATATATATATATATATATATATGTATTCGGCGCTCTTTGAACACCACGTTTCAATCATCTTTATTTTGCTTTGTCTTTCAAAACCCATTAGATTCTTATTGTGTTGCTCTGCTTTGTCCTAATTGTTGTTTTTTTAAGTTTTGGTTTCAATCTTTGGTATTATGTGTGGGAACATATTCTTTGAATAATCTGAACATAACATATCTCCTCTCTCTCTCTCTCTCTCTCTCACACACACACACACACAGTGTGTCTGGAAACTTAATCTTTGTAGATGTAATGGGTTTGATTACATAATTTGTGTCTGTGGGTTGAATTTATGTGGATTGTGGATTGGAATATGACTGATTGATTATATAATCATGCTTCCTAGAAAGTAGATGAAAAAGAAAAAAAGAAGCAAAAAATAAAAAAATTAATCCAATCTTGGGAGCTCTTGATAATTTTTTTTTAAGTATGTAAGAAGGCCCCATCTTAATAAGTCTCCTAGGGCCCCATACAACTCAATTTTGTTCAATTTTTTATTGTTAGATAATATCATTTGCTTTAGAGATTGGATCTTGCAAGCTGTTTCCATGGTCAAAATTTCTAGGTTGGAATTTTCTTCAAGTTTCAACAGAACTGCGATGTTTGGATTTTAGGATCTAAAAGGATTTTTCCAAACTTTATCATCACGGAACAATGTTCTAGAGCCAGTACGTATTTGAGTTTTGTAATCAAACCTGTCACTTTATTGGACCACTTTAAATAGCTCTAAACTTGGGCTGCCATCATTATCATATCTTATGGTAAAGCCCCCCAGTCCCTTTTTTGAACCCTATCTAGGAAATGCTTGTACTAAAAAAAGCAGTAGATTTCTCACTGAGCTTGGTTTTTTGTGATGAGTATGCAGTAGAAAGCTCAAACTAAGTATTACTATGTATTATTTTGTGAAAGATTGGATTGGATGGATTAATTAAGGAATGAAAACATTTGAGTGATATGATTTAAGGGTGAGCTGCATGTTGAGTTATTTATTTGTTTATTTACAATGACAGGTGGTGTTTTTCCCTAGTGTTAAACCAACTATTAACACCTTATTATATGCATAACCTCCATATAGTGGCTTTAAAACTTCTTGTAAAGTGTGGCCTTGTTCCCTTAATCCTTTAAATGAGTTCATTGAAGAAGCCCTTGTATCCTGATTTCTTCGAGTATGGTTTCCCTTTTTTTTTTTCTTTTTCTTTGGTATGGTTTTCACTTTTCCATTAAATAGAAGAAAGTAACTGAAGGTTTTGGCATCTGACATAAGTTTCATAGATTTCTAATTTGTAGGTTGGCCAAGAATGTTAGTTACTAGTAGTATAAGCTCATTTAAGCCACAATGTGACTTATTGCTAGGTACCTTTACTTCATGGGATGGGCTGGGATACATCATACATCACATCTTAGTTATGATTTGCATTGTAGAGTTTAGCCTGCATGAGCCTCATGTAGGGGTGTTTGTGGGGTGGGTTTGGCTTGGGTTCACCGTTAATCCTTAGCGAACCAACACATTCAGATTGGAAAATCACTGAACCGCCATCAACTGACTTCCTCTTTGAAATCGACCGAGTCAACGGACTCCGTTTGGCTGTCTGATCAGTTGAATTCGAAAATCTGTTAGAAAAAGAGAATGGGGAAAAAAATATGAGAAAAATGGAATTCAAACTTCACAATAAACAGATCTTAGGCTCACGTATTGGTCTATGTGAGAGACAGTGAAGAAAAGAAAATGGGACAAAGGGAGGGAGAGAGGAGACTTACCATGTCACTGACCGCCACAACTTCCTCCATCACTCATTGCTGTCATCGCTCATCACCGAGTGTATGGGAAATTGATACAACATGCTGTAAGTGTCAGATGATCTACCACAACCATCGCCATTAATTGAACAACACCACCATTAATGTTTCTGGGGAAAAAAAGAATGACAATCAGGGGATTGAAGAGGCTGATTGAATTTTTGGGAGGAGATTGAAGGGTTTTTTCGGTGGGGGAATTGAATAGCCAGCCTATGGGAGAAATATAATCAATGTAATGGAAGGAAGAGAGACTCGAAGGAAGAGAGAGATATTGATTAATGGAAGAGAGATATAAATGCAAATAAGGATATTTTTTTCAAACGGAAGAGTAGAGATGGGTAGAAGAGGAAATTTATGGAGAGAGTAAGATAGTAGATGGAACAGTGAAGAGAGGTCAAAATAGGAGGGTGAGTCAGAGTAATTAATTTATAGGAGAAAGTGTAATTAATGTTGAATGAGAGTGTGTAGGAATTATTGTAGGAATCAATGAATGCATAGAGAAAGAGAGCAGCAACACTTTTGACGGGAAAGTTGGTGAAGCACCCTAGAATAGTGATGAATATAATATGAGAACATCAATTACATATGACACGTGGAGATATTTTTTAAATATATAGGTCGGTGGTCGGGTTATGTGGGTTTCTTTTTGCCAAACCCATTATTCGATAAACTGCAAAAAATATCCATGTTAACCCGTAGTTGACCGAATATAGTTTCCAAACCGTCTGTTTGTGGTCTGGCTGGTTGGATTCATTGGGGAGGGTGGGTATTCGAACAGCCCTAGCCTCATGAAGTATTTGTATGATTTACATTATAGATAGGGCTACTACTTCAATGTTAGTTGCTCATTTGGTCATTTTTTGTCTATAGATGGAGTTGTGATCAAATTCTCATTTTTTGTCTATAGATGGAGTTGTGATCAAATTCAAAGAATAAGAAAAAGGTTTTGTTTGGACTGCATTTCCATGACTTGCAGTGTAGTTGTAAAAATAGCACATGGAATAAATTGAGGACAATAATCTATTGCACCTTCCAGATATAGCACCGTAAAAAAAAAAAAAAATCCAATAAGATTATTATGTCTAGAAATTAATATAGAGCCATATCATGTCCAGGATTCACATCCAGATCATAATCTTTGCAAAGACTTGTCAATAGTAGTAATGTGAAAGATCATAGACTCGTCAAGGGACCGATGGATTCATGGTTTTTGATTGCTTTGGACAAGTGGATTCCTACTGTACAACCACTTGCACAACATCACCGCCAGCAACCACCGCAGTGAGCCACCAACAAATGCCATCAAGAGACCTACTGTATGTTGAAGTCTTCACCACACCCCAACTAAGAGATCCACCATTAGAGGGACATAGAGATACAGAAAGAGAAGTAGAGAGAGGTTTCTAGAGAGTGAGGATAGGTTGGTGGTGATGCTGAAAGTGAGGGTAGGGTAGGAAGAAAGGAAGTGTTTGGATACTGATGTAGTATTGAATTATAAAATATTTAATGGAGAAAGGGTAATTCTATATCATCCATTAGTTCCGTTTACTTTTTCGTTATTAAACTTAAGGGCTCACTATATTTTTTATTACTCACGGTCAAGGGTGGTCAATGTAATTTGTCCTTGGGAACATATTCTTTGAATAATCTGAACATAACATATCTCCTCTCTCTCTCTCTCTCTCTCTCTCTCTCTCTCTCACACACACACACACACACACACACACAGTGTGTCTGGAAACTTAATCTTTGTAGATGTAATGGGTTTGATTACATAATTTGTGTCTGTGGGTTGAATTTATGTGGATTGTGGATTGGAATATGACTGATTGATTATATAATCATGCTTCCTAGAAAGTAGATGAAAAAGAAAAAAAGAAGCAAAAAATAAAAAAAATTAATCCAATCTTGGGAGCTCTTGATAATTTTTTTTTAAGTATGTAAGAAGGCCCCATCTTAATAAGTCTCCTAGGGCCCCATACAACTCAATTTTGTTCAATTTTTTATTGTTAGATAATATCATTTGCTTTAGAGATTGGATCTTGCAAGCTGTTTCCATGGTCAAAATTTCTAGGTTGGAATTTTCTTCAAGTTTCAACAGAACTGCGATGTTTGGATTTTAGGATCTAAAAGGATTTTTCCAAACTTTATCATCACGGAACAATGTTCCAGAGCCAGTACGTATTTGAGTTTTGTAATCAAACCTGTCACTTTATTGGACCACTTTAAATAGCTCTAAACTTGGGCTGCCATCATTATCATATCTTATGGTAAAGCCCCCCAGTCCCTTTTTTGAACCCTATCTAGGATATGCTTGTACTAAAAAAAGCAGTAGATTTCTCACTGAGCTTAGTTTTTTGTGATGAGTATGCAGTAGAAAGCTCAAACTAAGTATTACTATGTATTATTTTGTGAAAGATTGGATTGGATGGATTAATTAAGGAATGAAAACATTTGAGTGATATGATTTAAGGGTGAGCTGCATGTTGAGTTATTTATTTGTTTATTTACAATGACAGGTGGTGTTTTTCCCTAGTGTTAAACCAACTATTAACACCTTATTATATGCATAACCTCCATATAGTGGCTTTAAAACTTCTTGTAAAGTGTGGCCTTGTTCCCTTAATCCTTTAAATGAGTTCATTGAAGAAGCCCTTGTATCCTGATTTCTTCGAGTATGGTTTCCCTTTTTTTTTCTTTTTCTTTGGTATGGTTTTCACATTTCCATTAAATAGAAGAAAGTAACTGAAGGTTTTGGCATCTGGCATAAGTTTCATAGATTTCTAATTTGTAGGCTGGCCAAGAATGTTAGTTACTAGTAGTATAAGCTCATTTAAACCACAATGTGACTTATTGCTAGGTACCTTTACTTCATGGGATGGGTTGGGATACATCATACATCACATCTTAGTTA